TCTGACTGGCTCAGTCCACCCTGAGGGCAAGGCTGGTGCTGCATGTGGTGCCAAGGATCAAACCGAACCATGATCCCCTGTGGCTGCCTAAGCTTGCCTAAGAGGCGCTTTAGACTGATGTGCTATCTCACTGGCCCCTTTGTGGTATCTTATGAAAACTCAATCAGATGTTAAGGAGGGCAAAAACAAAGGAGGAAAGATGGGAAGAAAGATGTCAGTCCGGTGATGTATCAATTGTTTGATAAAAATGCTGCCCTTTTGTGACAGTCAAGGGTGGCAAAGTGACCTCTTCAAATGCCACTGTCTGAAGTCACTGTCCTTCCTTCACAGTGAGGTGTCTATTGGCTACCCCGCAGGCTCCTGTGGGGGCATTAACTGGGTTTTTCCTGGTTGTTCCTTCTGGTTCTGTGCCAACTCAGGTTGATTTAATTACAGCTCTTGTCTGTCTTTTTACTGATAATTGGATTTTATTGATCTATCAACCTTTCATGAAAGTGTTTTTGGGGAAAGGCAGAAGATAAATTTTCATTTGAAAAATCAATTACTCTTATTGGACATTACATAAATACAGTCTGTTATAAGTCTCTTTTAGAAGGGGTCCATAGGCTAGAGAAGTTATAAAGAGATTTGGAAAGAAACACGTTAAAAATATCAGAGACTTTTCTTCTACACTGCAAGTTGCTTGAGTAAATTTCAAAACTTAAGCGAAAATGTTAGGTGGGACAACAAACCCCATTTCTGAAATAAAGGTACGCTTGTAAGATTTTAGTCATTTGAATATTAAATTGAATAAAAACAACCTGAAAATTTGTTAAAAATTCCAAAATATTTGTAATTGTGACACAAAATTTTCTGTGAGCCTCTGGTAAGGCCCCATAGGTCAGCACATGAAGGTCACACACTTTTTCACAGTACAGATCTGTGACTGTCTTCACCGACTTTTTTTGGACCAGGTCCTGATTCTAGTCCTTCCGGAGCTGACCTCACACTTCTGTCTTCCCAGCCTTCTGACTCACTTTCGGGGGCACCGCAGGGCAGGGACACTTCCCCACGGCTTGTCTGCATCCTGTGGAACTATAGTTCCAGGGTCAGAGGTCTCTACTCTCCACCTGCCTGCCTAGTCCGTGTGGGTCTTAATCCCATTTTATTATTTTTTTAATGTTAAAATGATTGGTTTATTGAATAGTTGAATGAGTGGATGTATGGACAGATATATGTAATATGTAAAGTTGGAACAAAATTAAGCATTTTAACAGATAGGACGTTTACAAACGTGGGGAAGAGGAAGTTTATTTTCAGTGAATTCTGACCGTAATGCCAACTTAAAGGTATAAGACAAGGGACCATTTGATTTTTAAATGGGGGCATTTGCGTGTGTAAAGGGAAGTAACAGCCTCAAGGGTTCTT